ATTTCAAGGTTGGGTATGCAAAACCCTATTGGAATTCTCGAGAGAACATTATTTCTTGTTTCATCGGTATTCTGGAAGTGTCTTCAATCCTGGTGTACCACAGTTGGTCTACATTTATAAGTGTTGAAAAGGGGTACAGTATCTCTAGAAACTTCTGTTGATGGCGCTCAAATGAAATCTTTCAATTAGATAACACTTTTCAGCACTAATTGAACTTCTATAAAAGGTCAAGAACCGACCTTCGCCCTCAGCTCCGCAAATCAAGAGCTAGTCGTTCCAACTTGGCACATGTAACGCTTTCTTGTTCGAGATCCAGAAAACGAGAAAGGCAACATTAGGGTGTTAGAAAAAATGATGAATGAAGTACTGCAAAAATGGTCGCAAAAATCTTCTGAGCATAGTTTCATTGAATAATTTTCAAGATTCTATTGACCAGTGAGTCATTCCATTTACAGTAATGAGTATTTCTGTCAAAGCTGTGGTTTTCCCAAATTCATGATTGTATAGATCTTTCAAGTTCATAAGATAGAATTCAGTTCCGGTTCGTATTTTATTGTATAACTTAGTAAATTATTAGTGGAAAATTCTCACAAGACTGTCATGACTCACCATAGTTATTCCAAAAATGAAAGGGAGTAGTGAGGAAATGAAAATTATGAAAATACATGATGAAAAACGTTTATCATTCCTTGACTGGTTAAGGTAGAATTCATTGACTTCTCAAGTTTGTTATTATGAATAACATTATATTGGTTAATATCATTTTATATCATACTTGTATCCATTACATTATGAAAGTGATAAGAAAAACATTTTTTGTACGGAAATTTGCTATAAGAGGGACATTTTTGAAATTGATGAATATTGAGTGAATAGCTGAATCCTTTGATCTGAAACTATCGACTTTTTTATAGCGACACGTAGAAACTATTCAGCGATTTTGAAGCTGGACATACCTCACTGATTTCTGTTTGGAAACAGTTTTGATGTCCATCGGATTATTCAGTACATACCTATATTTTGAAATACTGAATTATAAGTTGGAACCGTCCAAAATACATTCAGGTTGAGACATAAAAGTGCGGAAGAAAGTTTGTTTGCTGCAATAAAATGTGATTTGATGCCGCTGATTATCATGAAATTATTCAGCCTCACTGAATTATGCAGCGATATCTACAATTTTCATAAACATTTTACTAAAAACCCGACCAGACTTTGCACGTGTGGCAGAACGTATATCCTTTTTTTTCTGTCAGTGTCACATCGGCTTATTCATGAAGAAAGGTATACGTTTTTAGCCAACAGGAGTACTTTTGAATATAAATGAGCTGAAAATTTCACCTTCTACAAAACTCCAGATAATTCGAAAGTATCAGAGATCATTCCATTGCAAGATCTTATATTTTGAAGTTAATACTTTTTTCCATCAGTCCTGTTTTCGAAATAGCTATGTAGCTATCTGTTTGAAAAATCTGTTCAAAATCTGTTTTTCCGTTAATCAGCTGTCACCCCCATACGAACGACAACTCTAAAAAGTTGAGAACTTGTGCGAGATAAGGACTAACGAGGTCTTACCTTTTAACGTGTGATTCCTAACATGGTTGCAGAATCATCCCAGCTTCAACCAGATACATTCTCTCGAGAAAAATATCTGGTCGAGGCGGGAATCGAACCCACGGTCTTTCGTTCGTGAGTCGGGCGCACTACCACCGCGGCCAATTCCACAACCATCTACTCGAACATATTACAAAACAGAAATGCGAAATTTGTCTTCATAGTGATTCACTCTGTGAAACAAGACCAACGCAATTGTCAACTTTCTTCATCACGCATGCCACATCGATGTGTGTGTGTCTGTGTTTGTGTATCGTTCAGTGTGTGGAGAATTTATTTTCTGTGCGATAATTTGAATTTTGCGATGACTCCAAAGATATCAATTCGAATTGTTTGATAAGAAGTTTAATTATGATTTATTTGAAATGATTTCAAACCAATATTGAATAAATGGATACAAAAATTCATATTCTGAGATTACTTTTGAAAATGAAGGACGAAGTTCAATCAAGTTTCTGAATGAATTCAACAACTAAACTGTTCTTCTACTTAACTCTGAAAACTACTTCTCCAGTGACTGTTCTCAACTAACTGAATTAAAAAAAAATAAAAAGAAATGAAAATACATGAATCCGTCTACATTATGACGGGTAAATATTTGAAGGAACAAATATTGAAAAGAAAACTTCGTAGTATTAGCCAGGGGAGTAGTATATTGGAGACTGGCTTGAACGTTTGATGTTCATTTCTTTGGATTTCTTTACTGCCAGTCTTCAAGCATAGCCCAGTGACTAATAAGAAATATTTTGGGTATGAAGTTTTCAAGAATTTAGGAAGTTATACTATTTTATAAAAAATAAACAAAATTCATATCGGGCAGATAATGATGAATATAGGGTGATGGTAAATTGGATATCTGATACATGGTTTTGGGAGTCCTCCAGAATCTGAAATGTTTATAGATATCCCTATTGATGTATCTTGGGAAACATTTCTTTGCTGAGAAATTTGATATATAATAAAAAGTGTTGAAGGCTTGCGTTTTTTCGTGGAATGAACGGGACTGGGATGATAATCAGGTACGTAATATCTTTGAAAGCTGATTAGGCAGAAATTAATGTAACATTCCATTTTTCCACTTTTCCACTTTTGCTAATTTCAACTTGTAGATTGTAACAAACCGATATATTTTCACAGATCTGGGATTATTCTGAGCAGTCTACAGTAGCCCTCCAATCAAATAAGAATCAGAATGCTGATATTTACTTACTCAAAGTCCATATTGTTAACAGACGTCAGCTAGTACTTTTGTTCTGTCCTAGAGTTCATTTTTGAAGTGTAGAGTAACATAGAGTGAGGAGTGAGGTACTTTTAGTAATGTGATACTCAGAATCTGAAGGAACTATTGTAACAAGTCGTAAAAGGGTTTGAACTTTGAACCGGTACTGATTCTGTGACTGAATGATTAGATATTGGAAGTGTCTTTTCTGCGCTTGGCTTTGTGAAGAGAACTTGTGGTTGTGATTTGAATAAAATTCGTAGAAATCTTCCATTCTCCACTTTCCACATCTAAGGTATTTATAGATATGAATTCATTAAAGAATTATATAAGATCCTATTCCAAATTTTTCAGTTGTTGAAATTCATTGGTTTTTTTCTTCGTAAGTTCCCCACATTTTAGGTAAAAAAGTGAAGAAATAGAAAGCCAAAACTTTTTTCCCAAAAACTCAATTAATTTAAGAAATGGACCTGTCATTTGAGAGAAACTCTTTATGATCAAAATTGATTATAGTTTATTTATTTTGTTTTTTTTTCTGATTGATTTGACCGTTACTTGATGAAGATCCATAGTAATTTCATAAACTACGCCTAACGATTTGATCATCACAAACTTTATTTGAAAAATATATGACGACATGTTTCGCTAACACAGTAGCTTTATCAACAGTAATTTTTTGATAAAGCAACTGTGTTGGCGAAACATGTCGTATTATGAAAATGTTTATTTTGTATACCTGATGTAATACATTTTATTGGTAACTCTAATTGTTTGGGCTCAAAGAAACTTTGAAAACCTGATAGAATGTGTGGTTTACAAAAATGTATTGAAATGTTTTTTTTGTTTTTTCTACAAGTTTCAGTTTTCGGATAATTGGGGTTTCTTGAACGACTGACTCAAATATTTTGTTTTCAATATTTAGTTTAAACAAGTTCGGAAGAACTAAAAAACTTCACTGAACATAATATACGATTCAGTGGTAACACTATATTGTGACACTTCATTTCTGCATGCATTCTTCAATACATACAGGGTGATTCAAATTCAATCCTCACCAATGGGATTTCGGAAACTATGAGAGGCACGAAGATTGTTAAATTGGGGCAAAGTTGCGCATTAACCTGACTAACAATATGCCGTTGAGAACGTTCTAAAACTCCGAGTATATCCGGAGGTATCCGAAAACAACAGAAATTATCAAAAACGGATTTTATTTTTTTCTGGCTTTATTTTTCGAAAGAATCGAAAATAAATTGCATTTCCACATTGCCATTCTTTCGCTGCTATATAAAGCTCGATTCTTTCAGTTGTATTGCCAATTGCATATGCAGGAAATTTCCTGTGGAGATTCCTGCACTGACAATTGTCGGATATAATCCAACATCGCCCTTCGTAGTATTAGCCAGGGGAGTAGTATATTGGAGACTGGCTTGAACGTTTGATGTTCATTTCTTTGGATTTCTTTACTGCCAGTCTTCAAGCANTGAACACAAAACAGAGAGAATCCAATATATCGTCCGTAAGAAAAAATAAAGTTGATGGTGGTGGCCGGGAGACGAAACGTCAGATAGTAAATCTGAAAACACCATTTTGTAGCAGGAAAAAAAAGTGGCGATGTGGATGTGCAATTTATTTTTGAGTCATTATAAAAATGAAGCCAGGAAACAATAAAAATCATTTTCCGAAATTTCTGTTTTTTCCGGATATCTTCAGATATACTCGGAAATTCAGAACTCTCTCAATGGCAAATTGTTAGTCACGTAAATGCGCAACTTTGTCCTAATTCAACCATCTTCGTATCTCTCATTGTTTCCGAGTTCCCAATGATGAGGTCCGAATATGAAACAGCCTGTATACTGCAAAGTGTCGTCTGCAGCAATATTTTCCAAAAATACGTATTCATTATCAATGTACCTTGTGACATTCTAGTGAACTCATTTGAAATACAATGATACATAAATCCAGCGAACTCTCCTAACTCTCTCTAACAGTTCATGACTTAACTCGTTCCCTGTTTCCTAAATGGTATACCAAGCACGAACCCACCCGTCGATGCACTTTTTTGCGACTAATTATTCGTGCGTAACCACCGATCTGACTTATCAGTGAAAGTTCAGATGCATGTTTCATCTCATATTTCAAAATGGCTCGATTCCCAGCCTAAAAAAGAGGGGCAACGCCTTGTTTCATATAAATGTTAGATCTGGATTCGACAAATGCATTCAACCGACATCCTAAGAACACGATGAGGGCATTCAAAGTAAGCATATAATCCTAGCAATAAAAAATATTGTCAAGTGATATCGCAAGTGATAGTAAAACAGTGAGAAAAGTGAAGTGATAACTTGAAAATAATTTTTTTGCGACGGTTTTCATATTCTTCATGTGATAGTATGGTTCTGTTTCATATGGAAATTGAATTTTTGACAGTGAACAACACTTCACTTTTCGTCACCAGAACAAGAAAGTTTTGCCATATTTTCAATTTGAAACTGAGTATTATTCAATCTGATATGTAGACAATGTTTTCAAAGAAAGGATAATACTTTCGATAAGAGTTTTTGAAGTAACTCATATTTGTTAATTGTGGAATTGCAAATCGGAAGAAGAATATTGAAAATTCTTTCTGGAACGATTTCTTAGTTACTATACTTTTGGTATTTCTCATCAAGTTAATTGGAAAATGCATTTGAAATATTTCCAAATATACGAGTTTTCAATTGGCCAATGAATATTCTTTGATATTTACTGCAATTTTTCGTTATTTTTGATGTTTTGGAAATGAAACCTTTACATTTCTACCAAATCTCCCACTGATTTTCAGTCAGAGAAGAATTGATTATTGGTAAATGAAAATAACCAGATGTGGTACTGAGTCAATAGACTTCCAAATTAATGTAATTTGTCATGTTGTTATTGGGTTTCTGTGTATCTGATATTATTCATTCCCTTTGTAAATTTATTTTCCAAAAATACAAATAACTTAATTTTTTTTCAATTTTCATATGAAAATAAAGATTATTGATGATGGATTATAATTCATGGATAAATAAACCTTCTACTTTACGACCTGAAAAAATTGAATAATATATCAATAATATGTTTCTCTTTGTGAAATATTGATTATCATAACTATCAGCATTGTTCTGGAGACAATGTAATTGGTTAAACGCAATTCGTGAAAAGAGTGGCAGTTGTGTCTATCAGAAAAGAGTTATTTTGGATTCTTGACCATAGTTAGAATTTCATTCTTCACAATAAAAAATTCAGTTTTAGAAAATGTATACTTGAAAATTCCACCTTGTTCGAATAGTCGAGAAGTGAGTATTCCTACGAATAGGAGAGACATAATGATTAATAGTCAATGAATAATCTATCAGCCAATTATTTTTGTGAACGTTTCAAAGTGTGAAATATGTCAAATTCAGTCGTTTTTGAAATGGTAAACTGTATTTTATATTTTATTCGAATATTAAAATTTTCTTTGAGTACGTTTTCACCAATTTTTCTTCTGTTGTCACTTCATAAGGAAATTTTTATGTGAACTCCATATCAATATGCAAAATAATCGATGAGACTTGAATGAATGATTCAAATTATATTCAATTCTAGGCTTGCGTCCTTTTTTCCTTGGTGGCCGTCATCTCTTGCGGTGACGTCAAGAAGGAAAAAAGAGGTCTCCTTGGTTTAGGATATGGATATGGCTCCGGAATTGGTCATTTAGGATCAGGCAGCCTAGCTCTTTCATCAGGATATGGAATTGGAGGAGGATTAGGTATATGAATTGTTTTTTGATCTCGACGTTTTACATAAATTCTAGTAAAATGAAATACTACGAATGAACTGATCTTGTTTGAAAAAAATTCATGCAAATATAAGGTTTGCGAAATTGGTGATGTGACAAACAATGATTTTATCGATTCTACCAATTCTTATTCCCAGTTGCTGAGGCTCAGTGTTGAATTCATCAAAATAATTTTCCTCAAGACATTTTTTTGATGATGAAACCACCAAGAACAATAATAATTTTGCGAGTTTTGCGAGTTAATATGAGACAACAAAAAATACTCTATTTTGTTTTTCAGTCAAATATCAAACTGCGAAATTTCGAAAAACAAACACTTTCCACAAGAACATGACACAAAAAACTCACATGAAAGTATAACATATTTCAGGATAAATTCTATTGAAAAATCGTGAATTTCAACTCGAACTGAAATTTCAACCTCCGAAATGAGAAAGAGAGATCAATAAATTTCTATATCTGTTCTAGGACTAAGCAGTGGTCTAGGCTTAGCTGGAGGTAGTCTTGCCATTTCAGGAGGCCCAGGCCTTGGAGGAGTAGCCTTTTCAGGCTCAGGCCTTGGAGGAGCAGGCTTAGGAGGTCCAGGAATCGCTGTGGGAGGAAACACTCATACCGTCACCACCATAAATCGTGCCGTACCCGTTCCAGTACCACAACCGGTAGGCGTACCCGTTGATCGTCCTGTACCAGTTCCGGTTCCTCAACCTTACCCTGTGAACGTACCTCGTCCATATCCAGTAGCAGTGCCACAACCATATCCCGTTACAGTAACCCGAACAGTACCTGTTGAAGTTCCACGTCCAGTACCAGTACCACATCCAGTTCCTGTTCCAGTATCGGTACCAAGACCAGTACCTGTTTCTGTGCCCCATCCTGTAGCCGTACCTGTGCCACAACCCTACCCTGTCGCTGTTTCTGCTCCCGTTGCTGTAGGATCCGCGGTGGGAATTGGTGGATTTGGAGGAGTTGGTGGTCTTGGAGGATTTGGTGGACCTGGAGGAGTTGGTGGATTTGGATTGGGACACGGTGGTAGTTTAGGAATCAGAGGTTCTTCTTTGGGATATGGATTGGGTGCGGCTGTTATTGGCGGTGGACATGGTTTGGGAACGGGACATGGACCTATTCTATCAAAGGGTTGGTGAACAAATTTGAATAAAAGTATAACTGAATGAGATTTATCTGATTTTCAAAAGATATGTAGAGGTTCGATAATAGCAAAAATGAATAATGAGTTACATAACACACAAATCGCCCTCCCAGATTGAATAGACTTGAGATGAGGTTTCAAAGAAATACGAGGACTTCATCATTTGATCATGAAGCATCATAGGATATATGTTTGCATACAGAGTGATCATTGAACATGCGGCAAAAAAAATAAGGAACTATTTTTTGGACTATTCTAAGGATATTTTGTTATTTGATGATTTTTGATAGGGCGCTTTGCTTCGAAGATACGGGGCGAAAATATTTCGACAGTCATAAGTTTGGTTATTATAAAATTATTAACGTAGCCAAAATAGAAGCATAACGTACTACGCTGGACCTACCAAGTAACAGAAAATCTAACAATTCCGGTGGTACCTTTCAACAACATTCCGATTACTACAAACGGCTGCAGACATTCAATTTGAATAGTATGTCTCGTAAGTGACCATTTGTATTTGTTGAATAGGTTAAAACTGATTGACTTTGTCTAGTCGTTATGCATTTTCTGTGTTGAATATTTAAAGTCTTGTTAGTGAAGTCCTCTATTACGAAGGGCTGACGCAGAGAGAACTGACATGCATTTCGTTTATGGACATTCTGATGGCAATTCATTGGAAGCTAGGCGTTTGTACAGTGAACGATTTCCTAAGAGTAATATGCCTGATAGAGAAATCTTCCAAAGTAAAAATCAACAACTTCGTGCAACAGGAGCATTGAAGCGAAATGGAGGACCAGGAAGGCCAATGACAGTAAGACGATAGATGTAAAAGAATGTGCTGGCCATGATAGAAGGAGATACGGATATCGTTGGATTGGTCGAGGTGGATCTCACTTATGGCCTGGTTGATCACCGGACTTAAACCCCCTGTATCATTTTCTATGGGTTTATATTGTGGAAGATGTGGAAAATTTAAGAAATCGGATGACTGCTGAGTGTAACGCAACCAGAACAATCCTGATGTTTTTCAATGAACTCGTGAGTCGATGAAGAGAAGATTAGATTCTTGCATCCGAGCGGAAGGTACTTATTTTCAACAGTTCTTGTAGATTAGGAAACATTACATGTAATTTTCGGTTATAAATTGTTGTCGAAATGATTTTTCGCTTCATATCTGCGAAACAAAGCGCCCAATCAGAAATCATCACAGGACAAAATATCCTCAGAATATTCCAAGGAATAGTCCCTCAAATTTTTGCCGCATGTTTAATTAACTCCCTGTAGAACTACAAATGAACGAATTTTGTTTGTCCTGGAATAGACCTTCAAGATTGTTTGAATTTATTACAGGTCCACGGCAGTCTTAGAAACTATGATTCTCTAGGAATTTTTTTGTGTATTCTAGACAAACCCCATGAAATCAGATAATTGAACTTCATATAATGAGTACAATTCACAAATAACTGTAGTGTGATACGTTCATTTTAACATAGAAATGGTCTCACTATCCACAATAGGTAGAGAAAAGAGAAAGGAATGTTTGAGAATTTTTTTTGAACAAACATCTGAAAATTGCGCAAACACAATATCTTGTATATCAAAAGTATCAATACCAACAAGACAGTGTCATTGGTAGAAGTTATTCCAAATAAGTTTTTGGATGAAAGAAAAAATGGGTCTGAAGACTGCTCAATCATATCAATCATCATTCTGAATCTGTTTGGAGATATTTTATGGAAGGTAGAACTGGAACTTCCAGCGTGGACTTGTTGATTACCTATTAACTTTAGTTTTGTAAACTTGAAAAACGTTCATAGTCCTCAAAGACTTCTAGATGACTGCTGAATGAGCTTTTTAAAAAAGAACTATTTCACCACGGTATTATGGGCAGTAATATTGGTTGACGGTGAAGTAGCCATATCGTACTTTATCAGAATGCGAAGTGTATACATTTCAAATTTGAAAATGGGGAGTAATCATCAGCTAAATAGTATAAGAAATGCATAATTCCGAAGTATATGAGTTATTTGAATAAAAGGTATAGTGTCGATGAGTCTGAAATGAATGAAATTATTCATTCTCTGTGGTATATTGAGCTGATTGATGGAATTTCGAAGAAATTCAACATAGATACTGTGGTGAAACTAAATACTTTCAACAAAAATGAAATAACAGTCAAATGAATGGGTGTATTTAAAAGTTATGAGTGCATTTTCAATTTCATTTCCCAAAAGTGAAATGTGGTTCAACAGAGTTCAAACAAAGACACAAATCATTTCGGGTTTGGAGTTGAATATTGGACTGAATTCAGACGAAGAAGTTGATTGAATCATGAAACTCAATAATAGGATAATATAGTAGGGCATTGAATGAGTATGAGGCGTTATTTTCTGGAATAATATATATCAGTAGAATATATATCTCATTTAGAAGAAGACGATAAAAATTCTATAGTGCACGCTATCAGGAGAGTTACTTTACCTTTGTCAGAAATACTGAAGGAAACGCCTAATGATTTAGAGAAACAAAATATCATAGAAAAATAAGTAGAGAAATCTGACAAGCTCTGCATGTGTTTGGAACCTCTAGAATTAAACAACATCACAATGGAACAACATTGTCAAATCCTCTCAATGAAACAAATTACAAATAAACTGAAGAATGTTCAGAATTTTAGCACATTGTACATCACATAAGGCTTCTATCAATTACCGTTAGAAAAATATATTATCAATCTATGTGCATTCGGTAGACCTTTGGGTGTTTTACATTTTTGTAATGAATTTTGCGCTACCACTA